GTCCCCTCACCTCTCCTTCCTCATTGCTGCCTGAAGGGCTCCATCAGATTCCACACCATCTCCTTCTACAGATCCCTAGCCCTCGGCCCTGAGCCCTGACTGTGTTCCCAAAGCCTCCTTCCTGACAGTGTGGACCTAGACTTCACTGAGGTTCTGCCAACAGGGCTCACCTCTGGAGCGTGGTTCTTGGAGAAAGCACCTGGGGCTTCTCCGGACAGGGGGCACCAGGCATGACCCAATGACACCCTGAAACCACTGTGGGGCTTGGGAACATGCTTCTGTGTGTCCTACACCTAATACCAGTGTTCTATTCCTGCACCCTCCAGGGACCCCTCATCAACGTAGAGTGACAGGCGCCGTCTGTGTATGAGGAGACTCTGTCTCTCTGCACCTTCCCACAAGCCATCCATCTGCAGGATTCTGGCCCCTCCCCTCCCCTCCAGAACTGCAGAACAGCACACTCAGTGTCTTTGAGAATCTGTGGCCCACTCCACACCTGGGCAGAGAACGCACAGACGTAAGGGGGCAGAGATGTCCCCAGGGTCATCAGCCAGCGGGGATCTCAGGCGGGACCTGCACCAGGACTCCAGAGGGCAAGTTTCCAACCTTATCTCACTGGCCCTCAACTGCATGTGACCCCCCAAACCTCTGTCTCCTTAAAGCACCGTCTCCTGGCTCTGCCCGGCTTCCCCAGGCTCCTCTTCATTGTCTCCCATGAGCAGACCTTTCCCCCTCGGGCCTCAGGACGCTGCTCCCCCTGGTCTGCTTCTCAGGCCCTGGACCTGAGCCCCTCCCGTGGGCTCCCAGGAGAGTCAAATGGGCTGATCAATGTCTGAAGGTGCTGCCAAGTCATCCCACCCTGCAGACCCGAGCCCCAGGCCTCTCCATCCTTCCCTTTGGGAAGAGCCAGGGCTATTTCCTGGTTGCTTTGCCCACACCTGGAACATTCCGGGGAGCAGGAGGACCTGTGATAGTCCAGGACTGCCACAGGAAGATTTAGGGGGCAAATCCAGAACACGTCCTGTTCCTGTAAATAAAGTTTTATTGAAACACACCCTCTCCATTTGTTCACATGCTGTCCCTTAGTGCTCTTGAGCTACAACAGCAGAATGAATATCAAGGCAGGGACCACAGAGCCTGTCAAGCTCAAATATTTACTATTGGGCCCTTGCAGAAAAGGTTCTGTAACCCCAGAGATCAATGATGATGATGATGATGATGATGATGAAGCCCCTTCTTTGTGCACCAGAATCATGATTGTGAGTCACTGTCACTTCCTCATGTTGGGGATGGTTGAGATGCACCAAACCCCCATCTCACCTGCCTGCTATGACCAGAGGCTTCCTGGCACATGTCATGAAGACAGAATCTGTAAGCACACAGTTGTGGTGCAGGGAGTGGCCAGGGATGGAGGAGCCGGACAGACTGAATGCCTGCACTGGCTAATGCAGTGCAAACTAGGGGGCAGGTTGGGACATGGTTTGCGGACAAGATCTCCAGGGATTATGGGTGGATGAAAATGCATAGTGGGATTGGAGCCAGAGGGATAAATTGAAGAGAGCTCACAGGTTTCTGTCTCAAGAAAACTGGGTGACAGTCATGTTCTGAGATGGGGAAAGGTATAAGAAGTCGTCAGGAGAAAAGCCAACAGTCTAGTGATCTCTCCCTCATGAACTTATAGGAGCACAGAATCTCAGAGGAGGCTGAGAATTTAGAGAAAATTCAGTCTCATGTCCATTTGAGGCCTGGAAATCATCTACACTTGACCTTGAATTGCCATATCACATTTCTCAGAAGCCTGTTAGACCTGGAAATTGTCTGGCTCCACCCAGACCCACTGAAGTAGAACCTCTAGGCTGGGTCAGGCAATCTGTCTTTGCACAAGCCTCCCAGCCGATTCTGGAGCACACTCAGGTTGGAGAAGCACTGATCCATTGCATCTTCTCAAATGATTGTTTTATCTCATGTGAGCACCATTCTGGGTTGGATAAGGGTCCCCAAGGCCCATGTGTTAAAGGCTTAGTCCCCAAGGTGGCACTGTTGGGAGGAGGTGGAACCTTTACCAGGAGGGGCCTTGTGAGGGCATCTTAATAACTCCCCACCTCTCAGCAGCTCATCCACTCCTGTGAGACCTAACTCACCCCAAGAGGCCAGCACTAATCCCTTCACATAGGAATCCATGACCAGTCACCTCCCGCTAGTCCACCTCTTAGAGGCCTCTCACCTTTCAATACAGTTACCTGGACAGCAAGTTTCTAGCATGTGACATTTTTTGACTAGATCCCTGTCCTGTTATTTCTATTCAATGCAGTTCCATCAGAATGATGTCACTTTGCATTCAAACAGTGCAGAGAAGGTTTATTTATTCTCTAGCAACAAGGAATCTGAAGAACCTGGGCTCAGGAGGTTTAGCAATTGCCCTAATTCACACTGACAGTCCTTGGTGCCAAACTGGATTGGAATCCATGTCCCTCTTCTCTAGAGCCCATGCTGTTTTGCCACTGTATCCTGTCATGGCTGCAGTGCTGGGCACAGGACACAAAGAAAGCACACAGTAGTGGCCATGAGGACGATGACGAGGCTCTTCTTTGTGTGCAGAATCGTGATGTTGCAAGCTACTCACTCACAGAGGGATGAATGGCCTTGACCCACCTGCTGGTCTCTTGCCCTTGATGTTGACCCTGGTGTTGCTCTTGATGACCAGAAGCTCCCTGGTGAGACACCTTAAGGTGGGAGCTGGACACGCAGGACCATGGTTAGGGGAGGGGTCTTTTCGTGGCAAGTAGGGGTGACAAGCAAGAACTAAAAATTTTTAAAAATTGGAATATTCTCCTCTCACAGTCCGGCCTCAGCTGGGTGTCCCATTCGATGCTCAGCCACTCAACAAACCTCAGGGCTGCTGTCACACGTCTCCCAACCACTTCGTCACTGATAATCTGGCTGACTCTCCCCAGCTGTGCTTGTACTATAATGTCCCCCAAAGGCTCGTGTGTGGAAAGCTGGGTCAGCCATGCAGCCATGTTCAGAGTTGGGAATTTTGAGGAGAGCCTGGATCATGAGTCCTCTGATCTCGCTAATGGATTAGGCCATTTGCCAATGTCTTGCCTGGGCACAAGATCATGAGCCACTCACAGCTTTGTAGATTCAAACAGCAATTCTTTATTCCCGAACTCACACCGGCCTCCACACACGTTCAGGGGAAATCCAAAATCTGCCCGCCCCATTCACCTACTCCAGAGGCTTTTTTCCAAATCCCATTTGAATCTCAGGAGAACTCAACGGGAACAAGGGGGCAGGAACACCCTATTCCCAGCAGCAATAATCTTCAACCTCCAACTTCCCTAAAACCCATATTGTCTTAAACCGGGAACGCCTTAAACCCAAGGACGGGATACTCCCTAAAACCTGATCAGCTCTAAACCCGGATCCACCCTGGTCCTTGAGCAAGGTCACCTTACTAAAGCATACATGCAATGTCCCAGCGAATGTCCTCTAAGCAACATAGGGTACGCTGGCAAGGAAATTTCAATGCGTCAATCCTACTTGGCAATGGCCCTCAGCAGCCATTAATGGGTTCATAACTGAATGGACAACTCAAAAGTGATGGAACGTGGAACCTGGGGTTACCTGTTCCCCTGTGACCCTTTCTGCCCCACTCTTTGCTTCCTGGCCACCACGAGGTGAGCAGCTCTGCTCTTCCATGTTCTCCCGCCATGATGTTCTACCTCAGTAAAAGCCCAAATCTATTGAGGCAAAATGATCTTGTACTGAAACCTCTGAAGCTGTGAGCCAAAATAAATCTTTCCTCTTTTACATTGATTTTCTCAGGCATTTTGTCACAGCAATGAAAAGATAACACAAGTGCCTTATATCCTAGTGCGCAGCACACCAACCTGCGCACAGCAGAAACTCAATAAATACTTGCTGATTGCTTAATCAGTGTAATCTGTGGGCTCATGTAAATTTCATGGCCCACTTCTCCACTTCTTAATCTCTCCATTTCTCACAGACAGACTTTGGAAGGAGCTCCCATGGAATCCTAAGCAGTCAAGGCCATAAATTCTCTCAGGGGTAAATAAACCCTCCCTGGGGGCTAGACAATGGACGCGTTGACTGTACCTGAAACTGCAAGGAGGACTTTGGTCCTTGAAAGAGAAACCTAATATATGTTCCTTCATCTGGAATTTCTGGACCAGCTGTAAGAACCAGCAGACTGAAGAAGGAACCCCGAAGACTCACCAGGACCACAAGGTAAGGTTCCCGGGAGTTTCTCTGAGAGCCTCCACAGAGACCGGGCCACTTCAGGAGAGACCTGGGCCCTAGACAGGACCTGGGAAGTGCCTCTTGGGAGCTGCAGGGAGTCGGGATGCTCCTGTAGGTGAGCAAATCCAGCCTGATGGGGCCTCTCAACAACCTGGCCTTGGAAAAGGGGGGCCAGGCCACCTGGGAGGTAACCGAGAGTCAGAACAGGTCCCTGAGGCTAGTTCCCATCTCTGCAAGGACATTGCAGTCTCCCCCTAGAAGCTGGAAAACCTGCATCTGCTGGGAGACCCCTCTGAGTCCAGCCCTGGGTGCCTTGTGATCAGGATTATTCAGGGCCTGGAGCTGGCGATGCAGGGAAGCCTTCGGACAGACCTCCTGCTTTGTTCCTTGTCAGAGACCAGCTCCAACAAGGGGTCTCAGGATGGTGAGGAGTGGGCGAAAGGGGGGTGGAGAAACAACACAGACACCAAAGTGAAGGTGCTGATCCCAATCTTGTGAAGTTGATCATATATACTTTTCATTTTGGCAGGCTCTCAGTACTTTGTGGTTACAAAATAGGAATCATTATTCAAAGAAACAAAATATTACGTAGCTACAATTAGATCAGAAGAATGTCTCTTGGCTTAGGCATAAGCAAGCACTTTTCCTTTCAGTTCCCGTTTTGCTTTGAGCTGTTTCTGCTTAGTTAACTTTTAATAATAGTTAGAAATGTCCCAGACTCTTGGCCTATACCTTGACTGTTCTTTCTTTTTTTTTTT